TTACGTCATTTTCCATGACGAAAATAAATGGAGATTAGTGTTTGAACCAATTAAGTACATATTCCACTAAGTTTTATTGAATAGCACATCTGTAACCAATCCAAAAACGTGTAGTGAAGCGACGAATAATTCACTGAGGATAACTTTAAAATAAATGAGAAGAACGCCGACAAGTGGTCGTCTTACTATAGACAAACATGACAGCTTTACAAAAGTTTGCTTCAACAGCACCTGATGTAAAGTGAAATCGCCTTAATCAAGGTCAACAAACATGAAAATAGCCGTAATTGTTTCATTTCCTAGAGTTAAAAGGTTAGCACCTTACTATCGAAGAATTGAATGGTTTGTGCATTAGACACATCCCAATTTCACGCAGACTACACATTGTTGAATCTTCTTACATTGAGGAAGATTACGAGAAACTTCGCTCATTACAGATATGGAAACGTATATTCGTATCACCATCGTTCAAGTAATCGGAGACAACCACAATTGTGAACCACTTTTCGCTACCTCTTTCCTGCAATGCCGTAAGCATTGCCCATTTAAATATAACCTCTATTAGATGAGCGAATTCGAGGGACATTGAAAATCACAGTACAAATTTGTCGGATGATTTTTAGTTCAAATAGATATCCCGCGTTTATTCAGTTCATTTTTCCGTCAGATAATAAATGAAACTGAAATGTCCCCTGTAAATCTGTACAAACATTTACCACATACAATATAAACATAAATTTGAGAACATCCAGTGGGGACGAAGTAATGTGATGAAAACTGCACACAAGAAAACTGCAGATTATTAGGAATGAAGAATATTCACAAGATTAACCATCTGACATACTACAGATATAGCGAAAGTGATGATTATTTCAGAAAGTATACTCGAAGCTGTCTGCAAATAGATGAGAGAATATGATGTTTTTCATTTTTCATCAAGAACAATAAAATGATTCATTTTGTATATTGTACGAACAACTTCACTACAACTTCCACAAAGCATACCGGAGAAGAAAATATTTAAACTGGTTTGTCAAATTAAACAACTAGTCGCATGCATGAACATTCCATGACGAATCAGAAGGCATCACCTTTGGATGGCACTTATCATCTAATGACATGAAATGCTGCAAGTAGAGATATAAAGTGGCTCTTATTCCAGTGCGAGAAACTAAATTCTGGAGAAAGCAGTTTTGACCGTGTATTTTGAAATTCATCTAGTTGACTGTTCCTTGCGAAAAGAACTAAAACGTGTCTCGTTCGATTTCATTGCGTTCTAAATTACTCCCCAATTTAAGAAGTTAGTAAAGCCAGAATAGCCTAGTTTAAACCTGTGTTATTCTCCGTCTAGTAATTTTGTTTTAAGTAATGACATCATTTTGCTTAAGTGGTATGAACTATCCGCGACAAGTGATCATGAGCCTTTATCACATCCAAACTATCATCAAATCCGTATTCATTTACAATTTCCTTGTAGTTTCAACAATCTAAATAAAATTTAAGTATTACGTTTGACGTGTAGAGTAATTTCCAGGACGTTTGAAACAAGGAACAAATAAGTATTAGTGGCGAACTGCTCAGCAGAAGCATGTATCAGATGAAACTAATGAATAAATACACGAATTCAGCTGTGCCGAAAACAATAGTGTTTCAAATCGTCGAAAAGAAACTTTTCTTCGCTGTTTATGTCATTTTCGTATGATTCAGTTTAGGAATATTTCCTTCATTGGAGAACTCAAAAGACCTTGGTACAGTCAAGCTTGCTGAAGTTAACACGGAGCCTAATGTTCTGAAGCGATGCACCGACAAGCATGAGTGTCCAAAACGGTATTGGAGGCATCTCCGCTGAAATCACATTTGCCTTAATCCAAAATATCCTCTAATGTCAACTCGAATTTGAACGAGACATCTCACAAAGAACCCATACTTTATATGAACTATCTGATGGTAAACGACAAACGTTTTAGGATGATGTATCGAGTATTATACGAAAACGTCACGACGATACTACTTGATGACTACCAAAAACCTTGAAACCTTCTGAAATTATCTCATCGTTTCCACAACCCATATTGCATGGTTAGGAACGAGTAAGATGCAGAATTCGCAGTGAACAAATTCATGATGCTTACACAAGATTTTTGGCTCTGGATAGTACCGATAATTCGTCTTGTTGCGTCAAAATTACGTTGTTCTGCGTTTTGAACACACTACGGTGACATTTCAAACCTCATTTTCAGAATTGCAAACTTTATCACACTTATGAACAACGCAATATTCATTGAGCTACCTGGACTTGGACAATAACTTACAGGGTGACTTCATAAACGTGGAATCAGGCGGGCAGCAATATCCGTACTTCAAGATTCATGTCAATCAGCAACACAACTCAAATAGAGCACAATTTACTATGCATATTCATATCAAGGTATTCACACAACCTTCTTGCTTCGTTTATATACATGAGTTAAAATCGATTAGACATATGAATAAAATCAATATAAGGCAGGTGTGAAACAGAAGGGAAGATCAAGTACATTCAGTAGCACTAAAATTGTTATCAACTTAAATGTGATTTGTTGAGAATTGAGAGAAGTAATTTTAGTCAATCTACCGTAGAAGATGACATTCAAGCAAGTTTGTTGATTTTGCTATAAAAACATCTTATTTCTCATCTTTTTGATTAAAAACACATGATATTTCTCGTTCCATTATGTTTTAATAATTACACTAATATTACTTCCGAATGTGCTTCATCTTCCATGGTAGATTGACCAGAAATATTTATTTATTTATTTTTTATTTTGATTTACAGCTTGATTCCACACCGTATTTTCAGTACAAGTGTGGAATTTTCAGCACGGATATCGGTAGCGCAAATTCAGACTGACCATAGATATCGGGTGTGCGCCGGCAGGGGATCGAACCCCGGACCATGTGCATGGTCGGCGAGAGTCCTAACCACTGTGCCACCGACGCACACTCGTCTCAATTCTCATCAAATCAAATTGGTCGATAACACTTTAAGTGTTCCCGAATGTACTTTATATTGCTCTCTGTTTCACAAATATCTTATAATGATTGTATTCATATAACTTATCAATATTTACTCATTCAAATAGACGAAGCGAGACAGACATGTGAGTACCTTGATATGATTATGAGCAATAAATTGTGCCCGAATCAGTTAATATTACAATGTGGGACTTTATTACAATACATTTCATCCATAATGGTATTATACTATACCTCAGTGCCAGAGTTGGTACTCAGCATACAGAACAAGCTAGAGGAATGTGTTTGAAACAGTCATTGCAATATGTTCACTGGACTTATAATATCAACTTTTCCAATCACTAATCTCCTCACCAGAGTATGAAGCGTGACCATCTTTCTCTGTTTACAACTTACTTTTATCACAAATCAATTATTATTCTGGTTACTTCAACTTTCATTTCTCTCACTGTAATCAAGCTCAGGAGTTTGAGCAATCAACCATTTTTCAGCGTATACACCATCCATTATCAAATCACCTTTTTCGCTTTTCAGAAACATTCATAGCGTTTCTTCCAATAATTCTCCTCTTCAATTCCCTTGCTTTTTATTTGATAACTTGACTAATTACTACTATGTAACTAATCAATATTTTATTTGATAAATTATATCTTTCATTAAAAATTATAAATTCATCTAAAAAAAGCGTTGATGAGCATTCAACTGAAAGATCAGTGCCTCTTAGCTTGATTTTCTTCTGTTGCGCAAGGCGAGCCCTAAAGATGTAGGAAGCAGCTGTTCAGCACTTCTTGGTGTTGAATGGTTCTCAAAATAAAGTCACTTTATGGTCGAACCTGATGTGTTTGTTGATAATTACGCACTATACTCGTCTGACCGCCAAAGGTTACATCAATTGACACTCAGATACATCGGGTGCCAGGTACCAAAGTGGAATCCCAATAACTGCCAAGCTGCTTGATCTCGTATGCTGCATGGCGTAATAATGCATGCAGCGAACGAAGCACGTGGGTAATTTTGAGTCTAGTAGAAAATAATAGTAGGTTACCACGTGGAATGGAGATGTGATCCTGAAGCTGGATGCATTCGAAGTGGCAATATCTATGTCAACCGTGACTGTGGCATTTGTACCTACTTTCACAACAATTGCACTGCTGTGTCCTAATTAACCATGCCAGCACACTTCTCTTTGCTTCTAGTGTCTTTCTAATGTTTGGAGTATCCTACAGTACACACTGGTTATATCGTTGAAATACCGTCTGATGCAACCGTACGATTTTAACAGAACTTTGTTCTTATTTTTGTCATTTTAAGCATCGTATCCTCAATTTCATCCTCTGAATAACAATAGAGAAAGAAACTTTACTGTGAAGAAGGGTTGAAATACACCTGAAACCCAAGGTGATATTCATCTGTTAAATATGCCACATAAAAAGGTGCAGATCAGACTCGGATTTTGAAATGGCGACCACAGTACTATTAGTCAACTAACATTTCTATCTGAACGGTCTGATTCTTCAAATCTACGAACCTGTCTGATGGAGATTGTTGTCTAATGATCACATTCAAATCACAATGTTTGCGCATGAATATAACTTTGTCGAGTTGGAAACAGTTAGCAAGTAAATCTATTGATATCATGCGAGTATGGCTGAAATATTCCACTTTTCTATGAGTACACGTCCGTCAAATCTCTTATGAATCATTCTCGCCTAGAGAAAAACTGATTTCCATGTACTCAAGGTGTATTCGTCAAAAAACTGATGAGATCATCACACCAAACACAATATTTCAGAAATTACAACATATAACAAATAAGCCCTTATAAATACATGCGGATTAAACTGTCAAATTTCAGCATTTTGTGGAAAATCAAACACGATATGTTTCATTTCATTAAATGTATATCATCATTATTAATAGAGGATCTACATTTATAGAAATAATTAACATATACGTTGTATCAGTTACTATATATATGTATTCATGCAATGTAGTATTTTTGTATGACACTCAGCATTTCTGAAAGGATTTCCAAAATTGAAATTTTTTTACTTGACGTGACATACTTGTCCACTTGTATCCTGGGAATCAGACTGCAAATAAAGAAAATTAACTTTCTTATAAAAAGGGGTTGAACGAATATACAGCGAATATTCAATGAATGTTGCAAAACAAACTATGGAGTTTTAAAATGAAACTACAAAAACTGTGATTTCTCAAATGAATCCACATTTCCCATTTGTAAACAAGACTTAAACATGAAAACTGCTTGATAGGCTTGATCCCAACACTTTATCGGACATATTTTATCATCAAGCGTCACTGTGAAGCGAGACATTTACTGATATTCTGGTTTATACACATTGGGTCATGGGAGTTATAAAAAAGACAATTGCAGCGAAGAAAATTTTCTTTTCGACTAAGTCATCATCTAGGCTGTACATTCGTGTATTTATATCAAATGGATGGGAAAGTTCCAGAATAATTTCCCGTTAACGGTCAAATTAATAAAAACTACTGCTTAATCTAGAATTCAAAGGTAATATTGATGCAGAAATCCTTCGTAAACGCCTCTCCAAATGGCTGAGGAAAACATACTTCGCCGCGAGCCTATGACTGACGTTTTCTTGCAAAAAACTTTTCAGCCAGAACGTGAAAGACACGCTGTCGCATGGGCCACCTCAACGTGCATATACCAGTTTACTTGCTCTTGTGGAGCTGAGTACATCGGCCGTACCATGCGACGACTTAAAAACATGCTCGTGAACACTACCCAGCATGGCTAGTAAAAGGAGACCAAAAGCGTGTATACACTTCAGTGACAGAACATCCGGTCAACTCAGGACATTCAGTGCCTTTCGAAAAATCCTTTAAAGTAATATAAGAGATTCAAACAAACCTATCAAACGGAGTGAAATCAAGACATCTGGGCATAGCTGAGGCGCTAGCTATCCAAAAGATCAAACCCACGCTCTGTATCCAAAAGAAATACGTCCAACCCCTGTCCGTGCCATGGTCATCATAAACAGGTTAATTTCTTTTAGTAATGACGATCTCATCACCTTTCTTATCTAAACTTCCTGTTTATTCATGTTATGTTAAGTTTTCTTAATCCCTGTCTACACTACCATATTTTCATATCCACTCGTCCTGTTTATCTCGTCATTTTACTATTTCTACATATTTAATCCCTGATTGCATAAACAATTATTCATCATATTAGTTTTTTATCCAAACATCTTGTCTATTTTTTCATTTCTAAATTTCTTACTCCCAATTGCACATTGTCAATCTTCTTAGTTATTATGCTACTCTGCTTGAGTTTTATCCGTCCCCCTATTTATTACGGCATACTTATTCCTAATTCTAATTTTTATTAATTTGACCTTTAACCGGAAATTATTCTGGAACTTTCCCATCCATTTGATATAAATACACGAATTTACGGGCCAGATGATGACTTCGTCGAAAAGAAGACTTACTTCGCAGCAATTGTCTCATATTCTGGCTTCTTTTTGCTTTTCAAAGCCTTGCTGAAACGCAGAACAGAGATACTGTCCATCAACGTCTTCATCGTTTATGTGATTGTGTTTAAAAAATGGATAGTTTCTAGCCGTCCTTCAGTAGCTGGCCACTCAGTTTATTCATTTCTCGTTTTTCGCTGGAGATGATCATTATGGTTCCTGAAATTCTTTATTTTCAGTCTTCATTCATATGTCCAATGAGGGAATATCATTTTGGACAGTTGGTTCGAAAGAATCGTTTTACCTTTATCTGGTTTCCTTTTAGCGATTTCATGGCCACTGAGTTCAAATTGTGCTGGTACTTGTCCATGATTTGAGACAAAATATAAAGCAGAATATTCGCTATACAGCCTGTTCATGTTTATCTATCCCAGGGAAGTTCGGCCTCCAGAAGCATGGGCATAATGTTGTAAACAATCCTTGTTGATGACTTTTTAAATTACATTTAACTTTGAATTAAATTTTAGATTTTCCTGTCAATCGATTGAACCGATATGCTTGGTCTCAGGTTTGCATTGAGTTCGAACCTCGGTGGGAACATAACCACTCACTGCGGAATGCAGATACATCCAGATGGCAAGTCCTAAAAAGGACGAAATGCGCATTCTCGATTCCACTGCTAGTCACCATCCACCAATTAACTTCTTACATTTAACTGTGTTTTTTGTTTTAATTGTTACGGATTCATTTCACCATAAAAGAAATAAGTTTAGGGTGTCAAGTTGTCGTGACACTGGATGTGAACCATTCTACTTTAAGATGAAATGTCTGGCTTTTAAAGTCAGAATGTTTTCAACGATTTCTCTCCAGGACAGACACATAACCTCCATAGCTTCTTTACAGATGTAACAAAATCCTGCAATAGTGCAAATTCATCCTACAGTGGCAGATAAACTGCAGGCCAATTTATATTTCATGGCAAACGTATTGAGCCTAACCAACGTCTTCCTAATATTTCAATCGCAATAACCCTAATAAAAATATTTGTTGTCGCTTGATTATTATTCTGTGCTAGTTTAACACCACACCATGACAACTGCTGCAGATAGAATTTTTCATAATCAGTGAGTTCAAAACACAAACAAACGCACATACTATAGATGCTCTATATAGAAACATCAATGTAACACTTCAAAGTCATTACGGAAAAGGTTACCTCAGGTTTTTCTGGCACGCTTTCAGCAGCATTCGTTTTTAGAGGTAATGTCAACAGGTAAATTGCTAAGATTAAGAGAGTAATGAAAATCCAGAAACAGAACGCTTGGTTCATTACAAAACAGAATGGATGTTTATTCCCTACGCAGCAGCGTACTGTGTTTCCAAGAAGGAATAAACCCTGTAAATAGGAAAAAAATTGCAAAGGACCATTTTCAATCCCAATCTAAAAGACTGACATAAGATAAAAACCCAACTGATGTGGGAATCATGATTGAGAACTTTGTATTAAAGCTGATTTCCGAAAATAGCGCCACTCAGTCTAATTGTTTCAATGGTAAATATTAATTGCATTCACATGTCTCATTAAGCAGTTATTCATATATCACGATAAATGAGGCCACATAGATGACGCGTTTTGTTTTTTAAATGAAAAAGTGAGTGTTTCCGAACAAGGATCAAATGACTCAATCTGACATTATGATCAAGATTGCACAGAAGAAATACTGTGTATCTGGCTACTGTTCCAAAGATACTTCCTCTTTGGCACTGTAAATAAAACATGCGTTCGTCGGAAGGAGAGCGGTAATATGGTCACCGACCACTCATGTGGTCTGAGGTTCAGTCCCCGGCAGGAGCACTCCTATGCATCGCGAAGCCAGTATTTGGACTGGTGAAGAAGGAAGGTTAAGCATAGGGCTGGCAAATTAATTCCATAAAAATGAAAACCACTGCTTCCAAAACTTCGAAGCTACAGCTAGAAGCCATTAAATATATATAAGATGCTTGTTCATTTTACTAGAACATTGTATAAACCAGTGGTGAGTTAAGTAACCTCTTGACACTTTTAATTCATTAACTCTTAGAAACAGAAACCTTAAAACGAGTAAAACTTGACGTTTTTCCACTAATCTCAAATCTCTTCAGAGATGAAGTGCCTATGTCGGTCCGTATGTCGTATCCAAAATCATTGCTGAGTATTATTACATATGCTTCTAAAGTGACTACATTTGTTTGAAGAGACCTGACTAATATGAAAAAGCAACGTCTCTCTGTCTGAAGACATAATAAGCTCAAGGGGAAATATTATCCGCTGATGGTAAATACCTGCACCCGATGAATCATTTAAATGCCAGCAATAGGTGTAAACAAGGGATTTATGTGCATGAAAAGAAAATTTCCGGGAACCTGGCTGCACTCTCGAAATTAATCATAACCAATATCTAGTATTTTCAAAGTATCAGAGTCCACTGCGACAACTGTCTTTGCGGTATTTTTCACAGTGTGGAGTCAATGACTATGCCATAGTCAACTTAATTATTATCACTGTCTCACAACTATGCTCATCTAACTTATTTCATGGTCCGAATCATTCTATGGGTAACTACTATAATCTTTATTTTTAAAATGATCCATTTATTTCCTGTTTTTTATTCCGTTTGTATATCCACTCCTTATTACTTTGATAGTGAGTATTATTTCCATTCTGAGTAATTTCCGTTATAATCTCACATGTCAATTTTATTTTTTTAATTCAATGTTATCACCTTAAGTGTTGTCTTATGATAATTATCACTTCCTTGGGTAAAGTATTCGTTGGCTACGAATCATATTAATGCTACAAAGCCTTTTCTATGGTTTCTAAATTCCATGAACCTTATCATGAAATACATGCCATATATGGTCACTTGTTGTTTAACTATTCACTTCATTCATAACTGATATACTACTGAATAGCGCGATAGCAAAAATGTTGAAAAAACGTTTTCTCTGAGTTACTTATTTTGAGTTTTTCAGGGGATAAATCACCCAATGAAATAGATAGTAGGTAAAAACATCAATTGAACTCACAAACATTGCACCGAAACAGAGACACAGTTCGCTCACAGCTTCCTAGAATTATTTGAAAATGAAAAGACAAAATATTGACTTAATTGAAGATATATGGTCCATAAACACTACTATTGGTTTCTAAGGATTTTACTGAGTTTAATCATGATCAGGAGCTTTCTTCAGTTGGAGAACCATCTAAATCCGGGAAATGCTCTCGTGATGTTTGTCTTAGTTTATGAATGTTCAGAACCTGGCAAGTATGACACTACCTGAAGTCGAATCTGGGGTAGTACCAATTAGGAAGTAATCAGATCTCTACTGTTCCTTGGCATTCAGTGGTTTTCTGAGTGATGTCAGTATCTGATTAATTTTGAAGCAATTCAATCCCTGCAAAATGATGTCCGAACATTATTTCGTAAATCAAAACTAGAGTATTCTGTTTCTACAAGGTTCGGTTTGACTGAATCATGATAAAATTGCATAGAAAATCACTGATTCACTCTGATTAATTGCTTAAATCATCCTAACAAATTCACAGCATCTTATGTTTGACCAGTTCAAATATGACGGTCTATCTGGTGCTGGCAATCGACGTCTTGCATAAGGCTAAATGATGAACGACCTTCAATGGAATAACTTCACAATTAGCGCACCCTTATCACTGCGTAACTGGGCCAATGCTCTTTGTCTTATAGATATTTCCTAAAACCAAGTCGCTTATCGAATAGCCAAACTGTATTGCACACGCTCATGTAATTTTCCTTAGAGAGGATAGAATACTAATCACCACACAACAATAAAGCACAAAACGATTTTCAAATTAAAAAATTTGACGGCTGTATCAAACCAACTGTTTCGTTTGTGGATTAGGTTCAATAAATTCTCGTGACGTTAGTGTGACCACAAAGTCAATTGTACTCATCTGACATTAACAAAATGCTCATTCAAGCACATAATGGAAACAGTATGAACTCACAGAGAATGGGACACGCAGAACGGAGAGAAGCATGGATAGGAGTCCTATGAATGCAATGAGCACTGTGAGAAATACGACTGCCGTAAACGCTGTTAAATCTAAGCGTTTCAGATTGACAGCGATAAACACTATTGCAGCAGCTATTACTACAGCCACATTCAAAATTATAAAAATATTGAGAGCAACGAATTCATGAAAAACACAACAGTATGCGATGGATATGAGTAGTACCTGTAAAATCGATTGGAATGAAGTAAACGTAACTATCAATATTAGGAATAAGATGAGTTTCATTAATATACAAAACAATTTTATATGTACCTGTTCTCTTATGTCATATGGATATCACCAGTCTGGAATCCACTACCAACCCATTTGCATTACATGTTTGAATGCGCACTGAGTGAAACTATAAGTGACATCACTTGCCAAGTTTGCTGGAGAAAGTTGCATGAGAACCTGTGAGCTGCACCACTGTGTGTGATGCAGATATTATCAAATGATTAGGGATTGATAGCTTCCGGTCAGTGAAATGTGGTGGCAAAGGAGATGAGCTGATTAGACTAAATGTCAGTAAAACTTTTGAGCATTGTGGAATCGAACAAATAAAGGCATAATCATATTTCCTTGATTTATACAGAATAATAAGTTTTTGTTTTTAGTAATATTTCGAGCAAAATTACTGCCCGTATTCACACCACTGTTGGAATTATTTTGTTAATATTAGTTTTCAGAATACACACATTGTTCGAATCAATATTGTGGTTTTTGTCTCATGCATGCACAACTACAGATGAATTATTTTCGTATTGTTGTCAGCTTGTGTACATGTTGAATGACCTTAAGTTAAGCGTTAAGTTCATTCACTCTCGTTCTTAGCGATGGGGATGTTTCACCCCCATGTTTAGCCAGACACTCGGTACAAGATATCTGTTTGTACATTGGGCTATTTTTATTTATCATTTTTGTGGGATCTTTTAGTTGGTTCCTCTTACCTTAATTAGATTCATCGGTTAAAACGTTGTCCGAATCCCGATAATTTTGAAGTTTCTCGAAAGTGCGTCTGATGCCTCATTTTGTATGGTGATGTGATCGATTTTCACTATCCTCCTTCCAGTTATTCTGCGAATTTACCCTCACTTTTCTCTTCTTTATATTCTCTTGGATAAGTTCTTTTGGGTAGTTGTTGTCGAGTTACATTTTGAATAAGACGATTAATTTTCTTTTATGCTGTCCATCTGATGTTGTCATAAGTCAACATATTATGTGTGCAATAACTTGCATTAATCCTCGCTTTACCGTGAGTAGATGGGATGAGTGATAATCAAGGAATTTTCCAGAATGTGTAGTTTTTCCGCATAGCATCGTTTGTATGCCGCCATCTGTTATTCTTTGTACTTCGCAGTCTAACAGACGCAGTTCCCAAATTTCATTCTCTATTTCTGTAGTGAATTTTACTGAGTTGACATGACCGTTTTTGTGCGAAAAGAATTTCTGAACATCATTTTTTTCATGATAACATACGTGTCGTCTACATATCCTCATCAAAAATCTATTGGTGACTTGATTGGTTTCAGTGCATTCTCTTCCCAAATACCTATTAACATGTCAGCTGTAATTGGTGAGATGGGTGGTCCAGTGGCTATTCCTTCATCCCGTTGGTATATCCTCCCTTCAAATGTAAAATATGTTGTTGTCAGACAGAATTCCACGTCTTGTATTATCTCTTCTACGGATAACTGTGTTCTTCCCTTAAGCCATTATCTTCTTTTTGTCTCGTTTTCAGTGCATTCATGGCCAATTCAATAGTTATTTAAGTATAGGGACTGTTTACGTCAAAAGTGACTATTATTTCCTCTTCTTTTATCTTAGTGGATTTAAGTCGTCTCACTGATTCAAATGAATCTACTATTCTAACCTTTAAGTTGTCTTCTGTTGGTCTTAATACTGTTGAGAGAAATCTTGTCAGCATATTGGTTGGTGCTATTCTAAAGTCTACAATCGGTCCTATTGGATATTCTTCTTCATGTAATTTTATCTTGCCATATATCCTAAGCATATCACATGGTTAAAGTATAATTTTAAAACATTTTGACTTACGAATTCCTTCTTTCATCTGTCTAACTACCTTTGCTGTTTATTTCAGTGTTTGTTTGTGATTGTTTCTGATGATTTCGTCATTAGGATATAGGGTCCAGATTGTAAATGCTCATTTATCTTCTCTGTATATATCGTTTTGTTGAGTATTACTGTTGTGTTTCCTTTGTCTGCTCGAGTAATGACAATGTATTTGTCGGCTTTTATGTCTTGATGCGCTTTTATTTCTGTATTTGTTGCACTTAGTTTTTTTGCTTTTGGATTTTTAAGGTTAA